CGACCCCGAGGCCGGCGCGGCGAGGGCGGAGCGCGAGCTCGCGCGGCCGCCGCTGCCCCGCGAGCCGGTGGCCCGAGCCGAGCGCTGCCCGAGCCTCGAGTGGCTGCCCCTGCGAGTCCTAAAGGACCTCATTTGTTCCTCCGAATGAGAAGATTCCTGGAACCGTATTACTGATGGGGGACGGGGGTGGGGGGGGTCTACTTTTAAATCCTTGCTTTCTGCATTCTCGCTATGGTTCTCTGGCGACTTTTCTTTTTCAAAGGAAGCAGGCTGAAATGCCCAGTGCGGCTAAAAACGATCCCAGTTTAAAAAGGGGGGAGGGGGGGGAAATCGGTCATTTTCCCATTTATTTTCACTCACAAGCCCATGCGTCTTTTCCCCCTAAAAGCCCAAGCCTCACAAGAAAACGCAAAACCATCTCGATTTCTATCGATTCGGCTTGTGGCTGGACGCTCTCTACCATATTTTAAATTAGGAAAATATTTAATGGGGCTTGTCTTAAAAATGGAGACACACCTTTTAGTTGTGTCTGGAAATGTTGAGAAGAAACGTCAGTCTTTTTGTTTCCAGTAAACTCAAAATGCAATCTTTCCAGAATATTTCACAGGAAATAATTGGGGGGTTCAGATGGTTGGGGGGGCGGTTCATAGGCTAGCTTCCACCAACAGAGTTGCTTGATTGATATTTGCTTTGCAGTTCTGCAGTCGAAGGTCAGCTGTATTTGATGGCTGGTGTTAGTAGAAATAAGGCTCTCAAGCGCTCGGGATTCCAGTTCAGATCTTCAGACGCTGACAGCCTTGGGTGTCCCCTTGGCCAGCAGCTTCTACTGAGATCAGTAGGATCCCACCAAGAAAGAAACTGTAGAAAGTTGTGTTGCAAGGAAATTTTATGTGTAAGCTGTCTGTGTGTTTGGTACGTGAGTGAGTCGTTTAGAAAATTAAGAAATACAGACAGAACAGTGTTCAGGAGGCGGTGCTATGTCACAAACCAAGCAAAAACAAACACAGAAAAAGATTCAGGGTTAAGCCACCTCCTGGAACGTTCCTTGCATTTCTAAGCCCTTTCTAGCTGGTACCTCTCTTGACAATTTAATGGAAATTGAACTTGGGCACGGGCAACCCCTCTTTCATTTATTCTTCCCTAGTCTAGGTTCAAAAACAACTACAACAAAAATACATGTGTGTTGAATTTTACCTGTTCTATTTTTATACTTTAAGAACATGTATCTTAAACAGCAAGTAGCCCAACATTGTATTGTTCAAACAAGATGGCAGAAACATTGAACTGGGAGGTTGTTTCAAAGATTCAAGTAATCTTGCTGGCTTCGAAATCAAGGACTTGACTGAGTGGATGGCTACTAAATCAGAAGTGGAAAAATGTGAACTATATCCAGCCTGAAATAAATCACATAGAATAAATGAGAAGGGGCAAAATCAAATCAGCAATTTAGAATCAAGAAGTACACTGGCCTCGGATTCTAAGCCATCCTGGTTTTTATTTAGGTAGATATTAAGTCAAATCAGTCCACCTCTGGGTGCCTTATCTTCGCAATCATAAAACAAGAGATTGGGAATTGGGTCCCTTTCAGTTCTGGTCATCTATGCACCAGAAGTCCTAAGGCAGGACGCTTGTGTGCTCTCAGAAATGCAGGCAAAAAGTAAGCTTATCTACAGCAAAGAGTCACCAAAGTTAGCCATCTAGTGAGGAGCCTCTGATAAGGACATGCTAACTTGTATTCTCGTGTGTATTGGAAAAAAATCATAACATTTCTAAGAGTGAGAGAGTTATTTTACGGCCCCATCCAAAACAAAGAAAGTTGTCCATGCATTGATTTCAAAATTTTAAAACCGAAGGGTAGCCTGTCATTCAAAACAGTAAATTAAAGACTCAGACTCCAAGAGCTTCTACTGCTAGAATGACTATTCTCCAGGAAGAAACACAAACAGCAGTGACCGTTTGTTTTTTTTTCCACAGACGTGCTCAGCCATCAGAAAAGCTTAATATATCCCCATTTAGTATGCATTTATGCAGTGATTACATGAACTTTGACCTCTGAAGAGCTGTAGCAATTAGCTTCAGTGACCAGCATCTTCTCCCTCCATTCCTCACTGGCTTCCTTGGGTCCCCTTTCTCATCTCAATAGTCTATGCACTAGGAGAGGATAACATTTTAAAGTTGACTTTCTACCTAAGGTACTTGCTTTTGCACAAGCGAATTACCCCTTCCTCCCCTCACCTCCTGTCTAAAAAGTCATCTCAGATGGATATTGGGGCTCTGATTGTCGATATTACTCAAACGCAAATGGATTTCAATTCAATCTTGCCCTGTACTTTCGCAAAGGAGATAAGCTCTAACGGCCCAAAGAGCCTCATTTCATAGCTCTTGGCATCTGAAATAAATTGGATCTCTTCTGTCAGGCTAATTTAGCATTTTAAAAATATTCAGTGTAATTTATTTGAAGTCAAATGAAACCTAGTGGATTGGCAGAAAGCTAGGGGAGGAGAGAGTAGAAGGGCAACTGGAAGTTCCTCTCCCCACCTACAAAAAAAAAAAAAAGCCAGGAAGGGAGAGGAAAGTGTTTTAAGTTTCTAGTAAACACTGTTTAGCAAAAGAATAATAGGAAAGTTACCCCTTTCCCAAAGAGGGGCACTATAATTGTTGCCTTTAGCGGAGAGCTCAGATAAACCGCTGGGACTCATTCTAAAGTGACCCATCGCTGCATTCATCTCTTCTTGAACTTTCGGTGAACCTGAGATTAAACAGGGGTGAGCAGCTAAGCAGTTTGTTGTTAGCAGCCTTTTCAACAACCCTTTCAGACTGAGTAAATATTGATCGGTTTGAATCTGATTGCCCCAGAGGAAAACACCACGGCATCTGAATAGCCTCCAAAAGTAAACTTTCAAAGGTGAAGCCGAGAGCAGACTTGAGAGCCAGATCTCAACTCAGCCGAGGCTGGGACACCCTGAATTTCGGGAGGACTTTGAATGAGTGTGAAGGAAGTGAAGGGGAACGCATTTGAAAACTGGAATTGTGTGTTGCAATTATCCCAAGTCCCTAATTGAGACTCTTGTCCTTTTTAAATGTATCAATAAAATGCTGTTTTCTGTGTTCTCTCTTTTGTTGTCTCAGTCACCATTGCTGTCATTTTTCAAGGAGTAAACCGTGCTCCTCAGAGACCAAGACAGAAAAAGAGAGACCTAGAAATAGGATGTGGTAAGCGCCTTTGATTTAATCGATTGGGGCAACTAAAAAGATACAAATGTTTTCCTTGTTGAAAGGTATATTAATGTTTCCTAAATGCATTGCTTGCTAACTGATTTATTCCATGACCTAGAGAAGGCTTGGGATGGTTAGCCATAATTTATCGTTCTCCTCTCTCTCGGCTACATTAAAACCAGCACCTTCAAGATTGGAATCTCCAGGATTCCAGCGGGTCGGGCCCTGCTTTTAGATATTGAAATTACGGCAGTGGCATGCAAATGACACTTTAGCACATTAAAGAATTTGGAAACCAGCCATCTGTTTTGCTGTGTGGCCTTACACTAATAAACAAAAGATACTGTATAAGGCCAGGGTGGGAAATGAAAGAAAGAGCTGGCCGACTTTGAAGTTCTCCTCCATCCACTTGAGTCTTTTAGAGGCCAGCCCAGAGCCCGGGAGCCAAGAGGGGAGGGCAGCGGGTGCCCTTGATATGGCCGCAGCCACCGTGCCTGCGAAGTCCAGGCTTGCCCCTTTGACGAGGAAGTGCAGGAAGTCTCATGGGTGCTCTAGGAGGCCTGCAAATTCCACGTTTTGTAGGATTTCGCCTCCCACCCCCAGCCCATCCTTTGTAAAACACCCTTTGGAGAGGAAGGAAGTCAGATGCCTGTATTTGTCATGCTGTAAAATTTCTGCTTCACTCTTGGGGCTAAACGAAAGCTGCTGAAAATGTGTGAAAGTAAAGGAAAAGTGGTAAGAGGTCTAGGAGGAGAGCCTTTGAATTGCTGGCTCCCTCTATTTGAGAGCAGACGCTTGCCTCCGTTTGGAGGCAACTTGAATATCGGAAGACTTCAGAGAGGCTCCCGCAAGTTCACCTGGAAGACACTGCTGAGCCCAGAGAAGAAAATAACAACTTTTTTTTTTCTGGGTTATGGGATTAGAACTGGTTTATGGATTTAGAAGTAGAGCAGACCCGTGACAGCCATGATGGCTATGAAATCGAAGCTGAACCTAATGGGAATGAGATGTGTGACCCAGAGGGAGTGGGCAGGGGGACGTGTAGAGAGTGGCAGGAAGGGATGGATATTGACAGGAAAGACGAGGAGAGACGCAAGGGTTTACTGAAAACAGACCACGCTCAAGTTAAGGGGTGGAATATATTGGAACACTGTCTAACAAGCCAAAAATAAAAAAGAAGAAGAAGAAAGAGGGGTGAGATGGAGGCCTCATCCTCAAACAGCATTATACTGGAGCTAATTAAATGTGAATCTCTTAGCTCTTGGTTCACTGATGTGAGGAAAGGCTGACTGAAGAGTTTGGGCTTTTGAAGGGGGTTCTGTTTATATATACGTCAACATTCAGTTGGAGGTGAAAAGGTTAGCACTTGACCCAGGAAGTGTCCATGTTTGTTTCAAAAATAGATCTGCTTCATAAATTTCTTCACCGTTCATTTTTTCCACTATGAACCTGGATTATAATAAAGGAACTACTGGTATCTTAAAGAAAACCAACCTATTAAGTGGATATTGGCTCGATGCAATGACACTCCTGGGGAACTTTCAGCTACATGATGGAAAGCATTTACTTTTTTTTTTTTTTTTTTGCAAGAAAAGGCCCACCTCTGAAAATGCACAGCACCCTTCTCCCCTTCCCCACCTGAAATGAGCCAACGCTCTTGGAACCAGTAAATTGTAACCAAGCCAAATTCAGGGCTGCTTAAGCGTATGTGAAACTTGAAGATATTTATTACAGACATCTTAAGACCCGTAAACTCTGCTCTAGATCACATCACCCCAGGATCTCAGAGCTGTTCATGATTGTACAGGAAATGGGGAATATCATAGGCTCACAAAGAATAACTGATATAACTCAGTGTGGTACTTCAGGGACATCAAAACATTGTGCGACATGCAAAAGACTATTCACGAATCACACAAAATATACATTCATTGTGCCATCCATCACATTAACAACTGAGCTGAAAATACATCATATCCAGCTACGATAACTGTGGGAGGGAGAAGCTGGTTCGAATAATACCTTCAGGTTCTGAATAACCCAGCACAAATTTTAAATAGACTGTGGCCAGAGAAACAATAAATGGGTGGGGATAGGGGAGACCTAGCACAGGTTTTTGAACCCTGGATTCCGCAGGCCTTCTGAACTCACTGAAAGAACAAATGCAGGCTACCCTCTGAGGCATCTGATGCAGCTTAAGTGAGCGATTTTATTCTTTAACCCATAACCTATAAAACTGTACCAGCTTTGAGAGTTGCCACCCTGCTTTAGTCCCTTAATCTAAACATTTCTAGAAAAGCTGTATAAAGATAAATCTCTCAGGACAAAGTATTTACAACCAGCAAACTCACACACATGAAACTGAATTAAATTAAGGGATGAATTGATCGTGTAAACAAGCTCATAGTGCATCTCTTCTTCATGAGCTCCTGGACTCACTCCCCTTTCTCTCTATCCTCCTTTAAGGGCAAAGTAGGGGAGGATGTAACTGTACAGATAGGTGAAAGATGGGCCTCCCTCTAACATGTTTCTGCTGGCAAAGGAGACGATATTCCAAAGGACATCTGAAAGGAAGAGACTGTGGAAATCTCCAAAGGGTGTTGGGGGCCATCAGAAAACTGATTATGGCACCCAATCTTCATCAAGGAGTTAGCACACACACACGCCCCAGTCAAGCCTCTCTACTCCAGAATTCTCTGGAAACACACTGTCCTGGCCAGGAGCTCCCCAGATAGGATCAGAAAGGAAGAGAGAGGCTGTACATGGAAAGGAAGATAAGCTAAGAATGTGCTTTGCGGAAGGGGTCCCCAGCCTGCAGAATAGCTTGGGCTGCGGAGTCTGGGGCTCGGTCGGCCTCAGTGAGAGGTAGTTAGGGTGTCTGAGGTCGAGGACCCCGGGGAAGGAACGCAGGGTGAGGAGCTGGACTTCTCTGAAGATTCATCGGCCTTCTCCTCACTTCCTGGCGGGGTGGCAGGAGAGATGGGCAAGAGACCCTCCTTCTCTCGTTTCTTCTGCTTCATCCGGCGGTTCTGGAACCAGATCTTCACCTGGGTCTCATTGAGCTGCAGGGACGCGGCGATCTCCACCCTGCGGGCGCGCGTCAGGTACTTATTGAAGTGGAACTCCTTTTCCAGCTCAGTGAGCTGCTTCGTGGTGAAGTTGGTGCGCACTGCACTGGGTTGACCCACGTAGCCATACTCTCCAACTTTTCCTGGGGGCATGGTGGGGAGCGATGAGAGAACAAGGTAAAAATGTTTACAATCGATATGAGATCCCCTACAAGCTTCAGATCCCCTAAGCATTCAGATAAAGGGGAGATCAAGACTTTCTCAACAGAAACTTGGCTGCGAAAGGTGACTGATGAGGTGTAAAGTGTTAATCTGAAGCCAACCATTAGCCAGGTCAGACCAGTGATTAATGGAGCCTGGAGATATTAACAGAATCACCCCACCCCCACACACCCAACCCACTTCCTATTCCAGAACCTCTAAAACTCAGGTCTTTTGGAAAGACAACAGCCCCAGATGCTCCTTTGCCCCAACACACCTGGGCAGTCTGTCCACAAGGTACACCAGTGTGAAGCAAGAACTTTAAAAATATATTTTTTTCCCCCTTGGCAGCTAAACATACTAGCTCCTTCCAGAACCATCAAGGAGCACCCAAGGAATGGCAAGACTGACCTGTTTTGGGAGGGTTTCTTTTGACTTTCATCCAGTCAAAGGTCTGTGCTGGAGAAGATGTCTCTGATGTAGGGGAGCGACAGGCTTCTTGGTGGCTGGCGTGGAGAGGGGACAAGGAGTTATTATACGTGGCCAGGGCCAGGCTCTGGTGCTCTTGTCCATATGAGTGGTGAATGTACTGAGGCGAGCCCACCGCGCCCCCGGCATAACCCTGGTGGTGGTGGTGGTGATGCTGGACCATGGGAGATGAGAGATTTCCAGAGTAAACAGCGGGAGCGCACGAGGGGTACCCACCACTTACTTCTGCTTCCTGATTTAACGCGTAGGGGCTGTAAGGCGCGCCGAAGTTCTGCGCGCCATAGCTTGGACCACAACTCGAATGGGAGTAGGACACCCCCAGGTTCCCGGGAGTCTGGTAGGTGGCCGGTTGGGGGTGGTGATGGTGGTGGTGGTGGTGGGGCGGGCTGATCTGCACCCCCCTGCCCACTAGGAAGCGGTCGTCGCCGCCACAGCTGTTAGCACTGACCGCGCACGACTGGAAAGTTGTAATTCCGTGGTCGGAAGGGTAGGCTCGCGCTGAGCAGGTCCCCGAGTCGCCACCGCTGAGGATGGGGTATTCCAGGAAGGAGCTCATTCTTGCATTGTCCATCTGTCACTGAGGGACCGGGTCCTGCGAAGCCCTGGGTGACCGTGCCAACTTTCTCACTTCCTCCATGGGGCCAGAGAAGAAAAATGATATGAATGTACAGTGCGCAAGAGGGGGGGCGCGAGGGCGGAGGGCGCAGGGGGAGGGGCACGTGACTATGTCAGCCAATGGCTGAGCCTCCTGCGAAAGTTTGCTGGCTCCCGCGGTGATGGATCACCGTTTCAGTGGCATTTAAATCCCCGGCGCTCCTCCAGTCTAGGTGACGCGCAGTCGCCCCCCCAGGCGGCCCAGGCGGCGGCAGCTGCTGCGGCGGCTGCAAGGGCAGATTCGGAGCGCTGGGCCGAGGGGGAACAGAAGCCACCTTCTGCGCGCGCCGACTCCGCTCTCCCCCCCTCCGGGAGGTGGGGGCTGGGAGGCATCCCCGTCTCCGCCCCCCTCCCCACCGTGCACAGAAAGATGAACTGGCGAGAGGTGAGAAGGGTAGAGGGCTCCGTCTCTCTTGGGCTGGGAACCAGTGGGCCGGAGCTCGCTGGCCTGCCAGTAGCTCGGGGGCCGAGCCCCGCAGAGCTGGGGCTTGGAAGGGCAGCTCGGCGGGCGCTTTCACTACACAGTCCCCGCTGTGGTGCCGGGACAGTGAGGAGCGCAGAGGACCGTGGCGCAGGACGAGGCTAAGGCCACCGGCTCTCCGCGCTTCGAAAGGAGAGGGAAGTGCGCAGAGCGCTGGCAGGGAACAGCCCGGCTGGGCGTGGAGGGGACGTGAGCAGGAAAAAAACAAAAAAACAAAAACACCTTCCCTGCCCCAAGGAGGGTCTCCGAACCCTATTCCCCCCACCGCAACTGATTATTAACGAGGCAACGAGGGGCTTCTGTAATTCGACGCCCGGGAGCGGGTGATTGGTAGTAGTTAAGGTTGCCGGAAAAGGCCGAGGGTGGCCGGCTCTTCGCCCTCCCTCTTTCCTCGCTCTCCGCCCCTTTCTCCTCCCCACTCAGCTTCGCTCCCGGAGCCCTATGGGATCCGGAGCAGCTCGGCCGCTGGATTTTGAAGGGTAGGAGGCGGGGGAGAGGGATGACGCTAGCGGACGTGGCCAGCGTGGGGGCCGGGCGGCGCGCTGCAGGCCATCTGCCGGCTCCCCGGGACCCAGGAGTCTGCGCGCTCCAGCGGGGGCCTCAAAGGGCGAGACCACGGCTCCCGCTAAATACGCTGAACTCCCCCCACCCCCCAACAGTGGTGCTCGCTTTCCGGAGGGGGATGTTCGGAGGGGTAGGGCTTCTTTTATCCACTAACCGCCCCCCCCCCATTCTACTGCCTGTCTGAAGTGGGGGCTTAGGGGCTGGCAGGTGGGAGGGGCGGCGGACAGATGGCTGATGGTGGACGGGACGTTTTCTTCTTCCCCAGCAACACCTCCTCCCCTTTGTATCTGACTGTGTAGTTCCTTGTGTGAACCTTCAAGTCTTTCTCTAGAGAGACACGTGCAAATCTGAGCGTCATCCCAGGCCAGGGGTCCTGTTCTCCATCACCCTCATCCTACCCTGAGGCTGACGGGGTCGTTAATTGCTGTTTACTATTAGGTTTCGTGCCAACCCTTGGCTTGTAGAGAGAAAATGCCAAACTGAGAGAATTGATGCATTCTTAGGTAAAAGAGAGCCAGAGGTCATCAAGCGGCTTCGCAGCCAATGCAGTACAGATTTTTCTCTGACCGTGTTTATCGCGTCGGAATGGGACAGATAAAATGTATCTGAGGACGAGGTTCCCACTCCCCTCTAGTTTTCCCTCCCCAGTGAGAAGGAGGAAGTGTTGCTTGAGGCAGGCACATTATAAGTGGGTTAGCCAACCTTTCAGGTTTCTGCATTCTGCTCTTCACGTATAGGAGCCCTCCCCTCCCAAACCGGTCCCCCCCCCCCCCACAGAGGGGAACTCTTGCCGACATTCCACTATGGATTCCCTCAGTAGCAAAGAAACATGTTCCCTAAATATTTCCTTTTGAAATCCTGTTTTTCTGTGACCTTTGACCCATCCCCAACCACGGTTAAGAGAGAGTACAGACAGGAAAGGTCACTCCTACCCCAATTTCAGCACCTGGGGGACACTCATTTTTGAGAAAGGAAAAGGAAAGGAGGCCCTCCTGGAGGCGGCTTCCTTGGGAGCGCCAGGGCTCCTGAGGCGGGGAGAGACGCGGCTCCTGTCGGGCAGGAGGCAGGACGTGAGAGGGTCGGTGCCGGCACTGCGGACGATCTGCTTTCCGAACCGAAGTACGTTCTTTCCCCCCGCCTCATTCCTGGCCCTTTGTTGGCTTCTTGGGCCCGGGTTTGCGCGACCCCCTCGGCCGCAGGGCTCGCGCCACAAAGCCGCCCGGGACCGAAGCCGCTCTCCTTCCTCCGCTCGCTCTCGGCCTCTGCGCTGCTCTCCTTCCCCTTCTCTTCCTCCCTCCGGGCCTCTCTCAGAGCCGGCACGGGTGGGCATGTTTTTCTTGGGACTAGTTTCATGAACTTGCACAGAGGCCCGCAATGTCTGGGACGGGCGACCGCCTGCCTCCGCGCGCCGCTCCCGGCTCCGGGCTCCCGGCAGGCCGGACGCCCGCGGCCGAGCTGCTCCGCCCCGGCTGGCCGCCCGCAGCGCGGCTCGCCCGGCGTTACTCACAAAGGCAGTCAGTCTCTGGCCTGGAGCCCGCAAGGCTTCCGTAGCCCGGCTCCTCCCCACCCCCACGAAATCCTGGGGCTCATCCTGCCTTGTAGGAGACGCTTGGTTCTCCGGGCTTGCAGGCCAGCGCCCCACGACTGGAGCTAACGTCTCTTACATGCCCTGGGAGAGTGGGTGAAAGGAGACCTTGGTCACTATTTAAATGATGGCCTGCAAACGGCTTGCCGGGCTCAAAGCGCCTCTTTCAGGGCTTATACTAGAAGGGGAAGGAGCGAGGAGGAGACAAAACGCCGCCGAGGCCCCGAGCTGCTCATGGCATCCGCGGCTCAGCCAAGCTGTTGTTTTAAAAGAGCAATAAAAATGAATTATGACTAAACGCCTTCTAACTTAATGCTTTCGGACGGGGATCCCCGGCAAATACGTAAGAGGATTTTTATTTGTGCATGTGTTCCTGCAATTGATCTCTTTGATGACATTCTCATTCATAGAAAGCGTTTGATTTATGAGCGCAGGACGAATCGCAAACAGCCGCGGCTCAGCCCTGGCTGCGGCCAGGCTGCCCGGCTCAGCTCCGCGCCTGGGGCTGGAGACCCGTCGGGGTCCTCACACGCCTCCGCCGCTGCCAGGATGTAGGGGGCGAAGGGGTGCAGGAAGACAGGGTGCCAACCCATGGAGAAAGATCGCGATTTCATTGTAACTTCCAGGCCTTAGCTCTGAAGAGCCGGGTTCCTAAATCAACCCGCCCCCCACACATGTTGCTTACACACTGCGTTTTCTCACGGTAAGTAGCCATCACAACAGAGCTCAGTAAGGGAAAAATCAGCATGGGGAGATATAAGAAGGGGGGGGAGGGGGGGACAGGACAGGACAACCCAGAAACGTGCCCTGGATTACATTTTATTGATATTTCATTTAAAGTGCTTTTTCTCTTTCTCTCTCTAGAAACTGGGCTAATTTATAACCTAGGGCGCAGAAACTCTCCATTTTAAATCTCAACTTGGTAACCTGGCTTCAAAGCTTTAATGATCCATTATTTGCCATGTAAACAGATTTAAGAATGAAATATTGATTTTTCTGACCCTGAGAAAAGAATCCTAGAATGACTGAACCAGAGGATGGGAAAGAACTCTTTCTGAAGTGCATTTTCCAGCTAGTAACCATGTTTTGCTTTAATTTTGTTTTTCTCTACCTTTTTAGGTCTGTTTGCCTGGACCCATCAACAGCTGGGAGACTAATCAACCACACTGAAAATGTTTCCGGGATTGTGGGGGAGGGGTTGGAATGTAGATGTTTGAAACAAATGTGTATAAATAAATGAATTGTTGATAACTTAGTTATTGACCTGGAGACTGGTAGCTTGTTAAAGAAACTCCATGTTCCTTCCTCCTGGAGTCGGGGGGTGGGGGCGGTTCTGTAGGCACTTTATTTCTCCACTTTCAAAAGCTTGGGCTTGGCCCAACTGTGAGGCTGCCCAGTCCTGTTTCTATTACCAATTTAAGTCTATGGCTTGAACCTCTACACTGAAAATCCAAATCCATTCCCTTTAAAAGGAAAAAAACAAACAAAAAACAAAAAAACATTTCTCAGAAGACCTAACCATGTCCTGGCTTTCTTTTTCGTTATTGTCTACTGAAGACTTTGAACATGCCCCCTTAATAAATATATTAAAATTGAAAAAGAAGATGAATTGTGACCAGAATTTTATTTACCAAGTTAGACTAAAAGAAGAAAAAGAAACCGTTATGAGCCTTGAGAAAGAGGGGGGAGAAAAAATAAGAAAGCTACTTATAGCAAAGGAGAATTTATTCTACCAAAAATACTCATGACAATGCATCCTAATGTAATACAAAAATAAAAAGAAAGTGAAGATACACTTATATGATCACTTTCTTGCAGGCCTCATATATTGCTTTCAGGAAATCACATAGAGGGGTGTTGGATTAGATTTAGAACAACTAAAACTCCGGAATAATCTGTAAAAGATGGCTCTGAAACTGGACCGGGAGAATCACTAAACAGAAAATCTTCCACATTTAGAGGAGAGAGAGGGTAGGTCAGGAAGAAAAGAAAATAAAAATCAAGTCTCGGAATAAAAGAAGGCAAAACCACCTGGTCAAAGGGGTTTTTGTTTTGTGATGCTTTGTTTTGCTTTAATGTTTTTAGTAATTCAGATGCTGCAAGTCGATTGTGGTGAGTGTGTCTGTAAAAAAGTCAAAGCTGTCAGCTGAGATATCTACGGGACTGTCGAGGGAACCTGGCAAACTGGGCGAGACTGCGTCTGAAAGCTGCAGGCAGGAATCTGTGGAAAAAACGTTAAAGTCCTGCAAAGAGGGGACCTCGAGGGCCTCGGGACTGTCATTGTTTAGGCCTGAGCCACAGTTCTGGCCCATTGTTGACAAGCAGTTAGAAACAGTGGGTGACTGGTGCTGAAAATGTTTCAGATTTTTCTCATTGCTGGTTAAAGGCGAGACTGGGAAACTTTGGGAGTCGCCATTGTGTCCATTGGGAGCCTGCTGCTGAGAGAGGGCGTTTTGCTGAAAAGTGTAACCTTCCCTCTCCAGAAGGGCCCCGGAGACGCTCAGCGCTTGCTCAAAGAGCGACTTCTCTTCCTCGTCCTCCTCCGCTTTCTCAGAGTCTTCGAGGCTTTTAAATTTCCCCTCGCTGTTGTGGTTCTCCTTGCACTGCGTCTGCCTCTTGTGCTTCATCCTCCGGTTCTGAAACCACACTTTCACTTGTCTCTCAGTCAGATCCAGCAGCGCGGCAATTTCCACCCTTCGAGGTCTGCAAAGGTACTTGTTGAAATGAAATTCTTTCTCCAGCTCTAAAAGCTGCGTGTTGGTGTAAGCAGTTCTCAGGCGTCGCGAGCCCCCGCCGCTGCCATCGGCGATTTCCAGGGATTCTGCGGAAAGGGAAACCAACAAGAGACACACGCACAGTTGGAGGTGGAGGGGTCCGAGCGGGGTTATTCCACTGGAGAATAAATATAGCAGAAAAGATCAACTGCAACAAAATGGCCGCCCCTGGATGCAGTAGGGCTATTGTGCAGCCTTTCCTGGGAGCCCAGCCCCGGGGGGACCCCATCTCTTCCACCTCCATCAAATTCCTGCCTGTGGCTCCCCCCAACCTCTCCATCCGGGAGCAAACTTTATATTAGCCACACCACAATTTATAATTAATGCATCAGCTGCTTAGCTGAGCAAGAGCGATCTATCACTCTTCATTACTGTCAAAAAGCCAAACTCTAGGACAACTAGACAAGAGGAGGTCAGCTCCAACTCAAATAAATCATCCCACATTACACAAGTTAGGGAAAGTTTTTCCCCCCCTCTCCTTAAAAATATATATATGTCTCATTGTGCAGCGCAGGATCCCTTTTCTCTCCATCAAACCCACTCCTGAGCCCACAGGGGAAGGGAAGGCAGCCAAGCATCTCTCCCTCTCTCCCCCTTCTCTCCCAGCCCACGCTCCCCTCCCCCATAACCGCTCCCCGGGCAGCCCCGGAGGAGAAGGGGGTCCCGGGACCTGGGGCCAAGTCTTTGGACTGACCTTTGTGGCTGAGGCAGGCAGGGCCGGTGGCGGCGGCGGCGGCGGCGGCCGAGGCGGGCGGCAGCGCGGTTTTCTTGGCCGCCTTCTTCTCCTTCATCCAAGGGTATTCGGGCGGCTGCAGGGCGCCGGCGGGCCCTGGGCTGCCGCGGCTGCCCGCGGGGCTCGGCTTGGGGCGGCCGCCAGCGCCGTGGCGAGGGTGACTGCCCGGGTTCAGGCTGGGAATGGTCTGCTCAAAAGGAGGAGGAATCAGTGTCGAGTGTGAAAGCGTCGAGGTCTTGATTGATGAACTTTGAAATGTATCAGCGACAGGGGGAAAAGATGTCAGGCACTCAGCGAGCGACGGCTGGCTATTGATAAAACCAATCTCTCGCTCAAATTCGTAATTCATGGCCTTCTCCTTGGAGCCCCCTCGGAGAAAAAGTTCCCTCTTCTGGAGGGGCTTTGGGGGGGCAAGGCCCGGGAAAAAGGCGAGAGCAGAGGAAAAAAAAAATCTATCATAGAAGATCGCTGCTGGGGTGTTTTTTTTCTAATTCACTGATTACAGCCGTATGGGGACCGCGCTACTATTAAACTATTGAATTCATGGAGACAAGGTTGAAATTGGACCGAATTGGCTGTCACATGATTGCTTCTGCCCAATGACAATTTGGGCTTTAATCAAAAGAAGCCACTGTCTGTTTGATTGATCCAAAAAAGTCGGGAAGGAACGCCTCATTGGGGGCCAGCGAGGCTTTATTTACACTTTTTTCAGGGCAAAAATACATATATGTGGGCGTGGGTGGGGATGCCCGGGAGTGCGTGGGGGCGAGGGTGCCTGCCCGCCGCCTGATCGGCACAGAACTGGTGTGTGCGCTTGGGAGTGTGTGTGAGTGTGTGAGTGTGCGCGAGTGTGAGCCCTGCTGCCGGGCCCGCCGGCGGCTGCCCTCTGCCTCCCCCGCACACTCCGCGCATTGTTTGGGACTGTCGGGAAGACGCCTCGCACCTCACAAATCATTTAAGCACCTCAGTCTGACGCCTGCAGTCATTAACAAAGTAATCCATTAATCTTCAAAGTTTTGACACCCGAGAGCCCCGCATCCCAGCCACATAAGTTCTGCTAAGGCAGGAGGAAGGAGCGGAGGGAGAGGAGAGATGAGACTGGAAGAAGGAAGAGAGGAAAGGAGGGAGGGAGGGAGAGAGAGACAGAGAGAGAGAGAGAAGACACAGAAAAGAGGATTCATTTTGGGCTCTCCCCTCTTTTATTTCCATTTCCCGCTGCCTTTTCTAAAACCAGTTCCTGGATCTCAGGAGTCATCCCCGTTTTCCTTCCTCTCTGTCCTTCCCTTTTTTTTTTTTTCCTCTTCCCCCCTGTCCCCTTCCCTCCCTCGCCCCTCCACCTCTCCTTCTCCAAACCCCTCCCGCATGCCCTCGCCCCCCTCCCAAAGCCCAGCTCGGAGTCTGCGTCCCCCCCCCCCCCCCCCCCCCCCCCCCCCCNCCCTGTCCCCTTCCCTCCCTCGCCCCTCCACCTCAGCGTGGCCAGGACCCCGATCCTGTGGCGTGCCGTGGCAGGACGCCGGGGCCCGGACCCTGCGTCCCCCCCCCCCCCCCCCCCCCCCCCCCCCCCCCCCCCCCCCGCCGGACCCGGACCCCGGCCCATTGTTAGCCGGCTTTTCCAAGGCAGCTATGCATCTGGCTCCAGAGAAAAGCGGAAGACGGGGAGGCGGCTCTCGAAGCTTCCCAACCTTCCGGTGCCATCAACTTTTCAGGAGTGGCTCAAGAAAGATAGATGCATGTGCCAAGCAAGACAACAACCCCAGGTTCATGTGTCCAAATCCCTGTAGCCAGGGCGGCGACCAACCAAAGCAATGCCACCCCGAGCAGGCTCCTGCGGCTCCTGGCATTCTGGGTTTCATACCCGTAGGGCTCGGGTGCGGTGAGTATTTCTCATTTCCAGGAAGTCTGTTGGAAGTTAGCAGCAGGGAAGGAGAAGGCGTTTATTCCTCTCTCTCTCTCTCTCTCTCTCTCTCTCTCTCTCTGTCTCTCTCTTTTTCTTTTCCTCTCCTTCTTCTCCTGGTCCTTGTCACTCTGATTGGGGGCTTGTTGATTCAGATGCAATGCGTGTTCCCTGGCAGCCCAAATTGTCTCCCGCACCTTTCCGTTCCTTGGCCACCAGGGATGTTTGCACTCAGGTTCTGTTGTGGGGAAACAGCATCCCAGGTGAGAGAGGGCAACCTCAGGAGGAATGATAAAGGTTCTCTTTTCTCTGCTCACTCTCTCTCTCTCTATTCCAATTCAGAGACTTGAGACTGAGGGCATCGTGGACTGTGCTGGAGGGTTCAAAAAATAACACCTTTAGGTACCAAACAATAACTTTTTAAAAAATCCACCAAGCCAGAAAGAGGGGACGAGGCTGAGAGAGGAATCTGAAGGTATCTCTTTTCCCTCGAACCCTGAGGATGATGCTTCGCTTTTGCTTCCTTTGAAATGGACCAAGTGATCAGATCCCCCAGGCCGGCAGGCATCCGTGGCAGGAAAATAAATCATTCTGATGGCCAGGGAGAGAGAGGTTGGTGGGGGAGAAAAATCTACGTAGAAAACAAGAAAGGCCGACCGCGGCACAAGGCTAGGACTCCATCTCTGAGGCCGGCATCAGAGGGGGCTTGGGTTGGAAATTACATATAACGTGGCCACCGTCACTGACTGGCCCACAGCATTGCCTTACAGATAGAGATGCTATTTTGGAAAATGTGAGGTTTTTCAGTTTTCTTGCTTTTATTCCAAACAAAGCTCTGAAGGAAGTCTGGGTGCGATCAATCTTGCTCACCAAAAGCCTTGACAGCTTCTGGCCCTTAAGAACACATTTCAGCTTCGCGCTTTTTCCAAGATCAAATGTGGCCGAGCAAAGAGGAGAGCAGGAAACGCAAGTAAACAAGGAAAACTCGTCTTTTAAAATATAGCTTTCTGGCAGCAGAGAGAGTTATAAGGCTGTTTTTAGGAAAAGTGCTTTGCAGATTCTGGGATAGTGGCTTTTGCCATTTGCTTTTACCAGAAATAATACTGAGGGTTTAAGGGGAGGGGGAGCTACGGAGAGAGCTCCGCTGCCCCCATATCGGGGAGGCTTTGTCAGGGGCTGCGTGGGTGAGAGCTTTCTGCTCGCCTCAGCGGCCTTAATTCAAACACCATCTGGAAGCAAACCCTTTTCTTTGGCCGTTCAACACTGAAATCTTCCCCAAATCTATTGCTTTAACTCAGGAATATTTTAATAAGGACTTATTTGTAATATCTTGGAAGCTGGAGGTGAGATCAATATTTTTTTCCTTTGAAACCCAAAATGAATGTTTTGACTGCTGAGGTATGGGAAATCCTATTGGACTTTCATTAAAAAATCTGTGTCCTGAGGGAGGAAGGATGCCTCCAAACCAGTTGCCTCTCAGCTAAATAGCAGATTTTAGAAATGGGTTCAAATAGTGATATCCCTGAAAGATTTCCCTCTCTGAATGGTTAGCACTCCCTGGCTTGCTCTCTCTCGCTCTCTCTTTCTCTCATTCTCCACGGTTCCTTATTTTACCAGGTAATTTTTATACACTTCTCTAAAATTATTACTCATAAGAAGACTTTTGTGTTGTTTAGCCTGCTCAGTTCAGATCTGAACAACTAGAAGGGAAGACGGTCCAGTCCTCACAAAGACTGGGTTTCCAGACTCTGCATTTCTGAGGTGCGCCATATTTCAGCAGGGATGTTGGGGCGTGGTGGGGAGCGAATCTGCTCCTTCCATAACCCAAACTCTTTCAAAGGGGGAAAAAAAACTTATGTGTATCAGGAGCCCGTGAGCAGATATGGGAGACGCATCTCTGGCTGTGAGAGTAACACCCAAATCTCTACAGCTACCTGGCTTTAAACCTTCAGAGACTTTTTCTTTTTCTGAAAATGTGGGAAGGTTCCCTAAAAGCAGCTCCTGTGGGCCCAGGAGATACCCAAGAATGGCTCCAGTGCCTGCTTCTACAGATCAGCTGAGGGAGCTTCTCAGGGGAAAGACAGAGGCCATGATGATGGATATTTTGGATTGCAAACAAAATGGCGACATTTTTCACCTCGGTCTCTGAAAGATACAATCCAGGGAGAAGGAGGATTTATTTCTCACATCAGATGCTTCTGATCCCCAGACGCAGGTGGTTCCTCACTTCCAATTTAGAAAGGGGATGGTGATGGGGCTATGGTTCTGAGGCTTACACTTTCTGAATTTGGTTCCTTCTCCAAGCCGCTCTTTAATCTGGAGATAAAAAGATTTCCTTTCCCTGTGCCTGCCTTTGCCTCCGCCACCCAGTCAGTGGGCAGCCCTATCTTAACTCCAGAAGTAGAAATGTAATGTTTGGCTCCTGTAGCATCAAATGAAAGAAATGCTTATAAAATTGCATTTTTATTACAAAGATACCAATCTCCTTTCTCCTCCTCCCCCTGGGGCCATAAAAGGAGAGCGAGGAGGGATGTAGGAGAGGAAATAAATCCAGAGACTGCCAAATCCTAAATTCCAGGACGAAGCCAAAGCTGGGACTCCAACAGTCCAGGGAAGGGCTTCCGGGAGGCTCCTGGGAGTTCAACCTTTCTTTTCTTCAGCCGGAGACCTGGGTGAGGCTCGGCCGGTTCGAGCCTCCTAGCTCCCCCGGGGCGATTTTAGGAGTGATTCTTTTCCTCCTGGTGCGATGAAGGGCCAAAAAGCACCCACGGAGGGGCCGGGGGCTCCCGGAAATGCGCGCCTTCCTCCGCGCGGCTGGCGATTCCCAGGGTTAAGGCACTGACCGGCCCGCGTTTACCTGGAGGAAGATCTCGGAGAAGCCGGCGCTGCCTCACTGCCCGGCGGGGCCTCGCGGGCACCTGTGCGCCGCGGGCCGGCCGCCTTTTGTTCCTCCCGCACGGAGCCCTCACGCAGCTTCTGCGCCTGCGGCTGGTCCCTGTGGCAGCTGGGGACCAGGCCGCCCTGCGGGCCGGCGCCGGGCCGTTTCCAGAGCCGCCCGCCTCCGTGGAGGGGCTCCTGCAGCCTTCCCGAGAATTCGCGGTGCTCGCAGGCGAGCCGCCTGGCCAGGCTCCACTCCCGAGCCGGAGGGCGCGCCGCGGCCTGCTCGGCCACTTCGCCTCTGCCTCGATTCCACGCGGACCCCTGTCTTCGGCCAAAGAACCCCTTCTGAACACGGATATTATTCAGAATAAAAACTTTATTTATTTTTTTTTTGTTTAGTTTCTCAGAGTGTGAGCAGCAAGGAATGTAGAACTCTCGAAACAAATCTAGCATTTCTTCACGTTTACAGATTGTTGGTTTGTTTTTTTGTTTTTTGTTTTTTTCAGTTTCGCCGGATGTTACAAACCTAAATCACTGTTTTCAAAAGCTGGATCCTCTCTGGTATTATTGCATCA